CGGTTTTAGGTTGTAAAATAGCACTTACAACCCTCTTCTGCAAAACAAAAATTGTTTCATGTTGTTTTTTCATTTAATGTTCATAAGACATTATGCTATGGAAATAACTGAAACAAACTAATTTACCTGTCTCTTCGACACCAGTGACACCTCTAATCCTGTTTACAACATAAGCTAGTCTTAGTAGCTTAGTCTGCTTGCTGGTTTATATATGTGAGAGTCCTACTGAAGTTTTGACATGAGAGTGATACCAAAAAAATCAGTGGATTCAACAGTTATTTTCCGTTTAAAAACACTATGGTATTCAGATTTTTAACATTAGGTGTTGTAAATTTTATAGCCGTTTAAATGTAGATTATTAACGTTAAACCAATGCACTAATTATAATGTATCATTATTCACTTCGTCACATTTAAAAGATTGCCGTTTAAGTTAGAAAATCAACGAAGTATCATTAGCAAATAATACTATATATTATTCCCAACAAGGGAAGGTATGTCACTAACACAGACTAGAAATAGGGATGGGCTGAGAATTGAGCCTAGAGGTTGACCATTGAAGTTTAGGCGCTATGTTTTGTTACAAACATCAAATATCTATTTAAAATCAATTCTAACGTAATAACTAATTATCGTAGGAGACATCCGAATAAAGTCATGTTACCCATGATGCTCACAATTTTATTTAGAAGAAGCTGCTATTGAAATTTATAATTATTTTTCAGCATAATGATTTCTTATATTTACGCGAACACTACACATTAAATAAAACTACTTTTACCGACTCTATCGCCTTTAATTGACTTATTTTTATTAAATGCCCGACGTTTCGGGTGCTTTACAGCACCCATGGTCACGGGGAACTGAGGTGATTGCCGTCCCGATGTCAGAGGTATCCCCGGAGTACATTAAGCTTTTTTAATTATTAGTTTTGGTTCGATCTACGCAGAATTAACTTACTGTGTCTTGAAGTCTTGCAGTGGTATGCTTGGGTTTAGTTTTAATTTTATTAATTACAGGATCCCAAGCAGTTGCTAGTACCCAGCCCCCCTCTCTATTGAAATGAGGATGTTTTTTTTTAAATTTCAATAGCCTCACGTATCATCCTATGCAGGAATCGATGTACTTTCGCGAGATTTTGTAGTTTATCGAATCTAATTATATGATGATTTTTATTCAAACTTGTCAGCAGACATTGAAGTCCTGCCCTTGAATATGTTTAAGACTAGATTACTTCGACTTCTCTTGGACAAATGTTAAGACCACGCTCACACAGAATACCAGCGTAAAATAGCAGCTTAACACTGCCGTGTTTCGTATGATGAGTGTAGAGAACCGGCGACCCTTTTTACTAGAAACGAGGCATTCCATCTTAGCCCTCACGGGTAACAACGCATCTGCATTTTTGATTCTTTATTGAGGATAGATGTTTATGGGTCACAGCAACCACTTACCATCAGGTGGACTGTGTGCTCGTTTGTCACCCTATCCTATAAAAAAAACAAAGTCCACCTGATGGTAAGTGGATGCTTTAGCCCATAGACATCTACATCTATCCTCGATTAAGAATCAAAATTCAGATGCGTTGTCATCTCTGAGGACTATTATTCTGTGAGAGCGTGGTACTTCCCCGGTAGAGCCGTACCCGACGAAAAAAAAAAGAAAAAGCACAAAGTAATGTGAGAGACTGATGCTCAAACTAAGCGACGAACCTGTATACAACATGAAATACAAAAGTATGTAATCTTAGAATACATATTTTAATAACCATGATACGTTATAATTCATTTACTTGTGGATGTGTGTGTGTGTGTGTGTGTGTGTGTGTGTGTGTGTGTGTGTGTGTGTGTGTGTGTGTGTGTGTGTGTGTGTGTGTGTGTGCGTGCGTGCGTGTGTGCGTGTGCGTGTGTTTGCGTGTGTGTGTGTGAATACGAAAATTACAACATTTATACAAGTGTTGCAAGGAGATCTTCTGTATATTTATAGTCCCTTTTCAGTAACCATTCATGGACACATTTTATTGCTTTTATTAGGTAGGGCGTGGATTAATATCCACGCCCTACCTAAAATCCTTGTTAACTTTATTATACAGGTATCCGCCAAGATAGCAAACAAATCTCCTAGAAAAGTAGATACAATGGTCATAATGAGAGGTACATACCCGGTCTTTGCGTCTCGTGTGCTGTGAATTTTTTTGATCATATTTTAATTGAGCATGTTTTTTCTAGTACCGTGTATAAAATAAACAATTGCCGGACTGTAAGAACTTTGGAAATTTTATAATGTTGGTTGGTTGGAAATTTAAAGGGAAGAGAGTTACTTACTTTTAAGATTAACCTTTGCGATCTTTCAAGTGAGAGATGCGATGATTTGGTAGCTCCACCCCAGCACGTAATACAATATATTATTAAAGATTGGCATAGAGCAAAATAGACAGATTTAATAGTGTTAGAATCTGCTACGCATCGGAGTTTTTTTTAAATATATATGTTAATTTTCGTATCCTATTTGAAAGTGTATGTATATGCTCATGAAAAGTTAGCTTATCATCCAACAAAATACCAAGGTATTTAATTGAATTTACTTTTTGCAGAGGTATGCATGAACATGTTAGGCGATTAGGAAAATTGCAAGAATGAGTAGTAATAACATGGTCTGTGCAGGTTGCATATTTATTATTATGTTTAAAGAAGGACAAGTATTTTGTTTTTTCCACGTTGAGGGTTAACACATTATCGTGAAGCCATTTGGACACTCTATTTAAGCCAATCTGAGCGAAGTTAAAAACACCTGGCCATGAATCACCAGTAAATAGTAGGGCTGTGTCATCTGCAAAAGTTACTATTTTTCCGTTCACTAGTTTGAGTTTGCAGAGGTAATTACTGTAAAGAAGAAACAGGGTAGGGCCAAGAATACTTCCCTGAGGAACACCATAGCAGATGGGGAGCTCATCACTAACGTGTTTATCAATTTTTACGGACTGTGTTCTATCTGTAAGGTAATCTTTGAAAAGCTGCAACGGTACACCCCTTATACCAAGCTTCTTCATTTTATGCAACAATATGGGAACAGAGACCGTGTCAAAGGCTTTGGCTAAATCTAAAAAAATTCCTATTGTTTTCTTTTCTTTCTCAAAGAAAAGAAAAAAATGCTCATGAACGGCATCAGCGAAATACGTGTTAACATTATTAACTGATTCTTTTGGTGTGGTACATACTGATAATAGTTGAGTGGAAGATGCTTTTGCGGCATTTCTGTTGGTTATTCTATTTATTATCTCCCAAAGTTTTCTATTATTTGCACCTGTTTTCGTGCTTCATTTTTTCATATTCATTCTTGACCTTTTTTAGAAGTTTATTGCAATAATTTCTGTATCTCGTAAACGTTAACTTAAGTACTTCATTACCCGGCTCTTTTTTCCATTTTTTGTGAAATTATCCCTATGCTTCATACAACGTAAAAGTCCTGGAGTAATCCACGGCTTTACAATCTTTTTACGACTAGGTAAAACAATCTACTTAGTATTAGCGTCTAAAACTTTCTGTAAGGACTGGACAAGACAATTAGCGGCAATATTTGGATTTTGTGTAGAGTAAACTGAATCAAAATTCATTTTAGCAAGATCAGTTATAATTCCATTATGATCTGTACGAAATATTGTCATCATTGTGTGTTGTTTTGGGATCTTCTTTACGAGAAAAAATGCTACAGTCTCATGATTAGTTAACGCAGAATTTACAACAAGAGTTTTGGGAGTTTGGTTCTTAGCATAACATGATCTACGCAGCTATCTTTACTGGTAGGAAAAGTATGAGCTGGTAACAAGCCGTGTAAAGCAGTCACATTAAGGTAGTTTAACTTATGTTAGTCCTGTAGAGAGTCAGTAATATTGATGTTAATATCTCCTACAAGTACAACAATATTAACATTAGCTGTTTTTACAAGTAAAGCATCTAGTGAATCTATGAATTCAGTACAATCTCTAACAGCAGGAGAACGATACAAGGCTAAAATAACAATATCTCTATTTATCTTTAAAAGAAGACAATTCGCGTTGCGGAAGCAAATTTCTTCTGGTATCTGGTGGTAAATTTTGAATTGAATAAGGCCAGGAGCTCAGATTTAAAAGCTTTGAGTTCTTCACTACAATCCCCATGTTCCCGTTTCCGCTTATTTCTACTAGCGACATTTTCAGTGGATACCTTTTGTGCTTGAATACGACTCACAATTTGATGTTTGCAAATCCCTTGGAGGAGTACGCTTTAGTGGCATGTTTTTTTTATAAAGGCGGTAGATGTGATACAAATTACTTCTGTTTAATTACGACAGTTGCACTATTCGTCCGCGAGTGAAACGTAAGGTACCAGGAGCACAGGTAATTTAGCAACAGTAGTCACTAACCGGTATGTTGGAGTGGGGTGCAACAAAAGGGCGACGCTTAGCGAGTGTCACTGTAAGCCGAGAGTCACTGTAAGCCGCTCTTAGGATCGAGGACGGTATTTTGCACGGCGCTCCTGGTGCTTGAAGCTCTTACAGATTATGCACTCCTATTATTTGCACTTTATCAAATATTTAATTAAATTTTTATTTAAACAAGAAATACATCTACACTGAACACGTCTGCTCGCAACCGCAGTCCGGGAGGAAGAGGTGAAAAACATTTCCGATTCGTGATACAATTTGTTTCACTTTAAATCACTATCTAATAATTTTATAAAATTGATTTGCTAAATACGGCCCATGGCCTCGACAGGAAGAACACTTCACATTTAAGAAGTCTTGAGCGTGAGTAAGCGAAGTGCAGGGCTGCCTCCCACAAGATTAAGTGACCACCTAGTAAGATGTGCAGTAAGTCGATAGATGCATGAGGATCGTACTTTGTGGTGTTCCTTTGGGGAAGCCTATATTTAGCAGTAGACTTGTGAATGAATGTAATAATGATGATGATAATGATCAAGTAAATATAACACTAACTATCTTTGTGCTTCTTTCAGTCCCAACATGATTTGGAGGCCGCTAAATTTAGAAGAGGTGTGCCCCGTCCACACTCAACTCTCCGCTTGCTCTTATTTCGGCTATGTGTACTTGAATCTGCTAGTCCAATTGTTCGGCGACTCCAGCGAAAGAAGAACACAAGAGGAGTTACGACACCATGAAAAGGAAGAAGACGAGGATAGAATAGTCGAGAGCACAAGAAGCTACGGACATAGAAAGCATAGCCCAGAAGAGTACGATTTTATCGTTGTTGGCGCTGGTTCCGCTGGGTGCGTGGTGGCCAATAGACTATCTCAGAATAAGAAATGGAAGGTATGTCAGCCTTAATTTTTTTTAATATTCTATGAGCTATGAAGAAGGCTGCACTCGGAGTTTCTTTACGTGATATTATTCTTAATAATGATACCCACAGTAGAACCAGAGTAACCAACAAAAAAGTGACAATAGGCCGGCCATTTAGCTCGAAGACATAGAATTATTACGCATAGATACGCAGTCCAGTACAAAACACGTGCGTTAAAATGATGCAAAGTCATTATGTTAGTGGGCGCGAGTCGAATGTGCCTACGCTCGTCACACGCACACATACACGCCATTCAGTAATACCAGTTTCTGGCGTTTGCAATCAAACTGTGCAACTCACTATTTTTTGATTAATTTTAAAAAATCGATATAATAAAGATTACGTATTACGTCCGAAGATTATTTAGTAGAAGTATTTTATGAGGATATAAAATGGAATAAAATAAACACGATAATGATGTTACTAATATAACTTTATTATACATATATTAATGGTAAAAAATGCAGACCTAATAAAATTTAAGAATATTATTAAACACAATTAATTTGCTCGAATACAATAAGCACATCTTGTAATGTTTAATTTTAACCGACTTCAAAATGGGAGGAGTTTATCAATTCAGTGTATTTTTTAATGTTTTTTACCTCAGAATTCTACAATTTCTAAACCGATTTAGATTTTTTTTTTGAAAGGATATACACACAGATTGATCCAATACACACGCTGAAATTTTAATGGTTGTTTTCCCGAAGTAAAATGATTTTGCCTTAGTAGTACAATAGAATAAATGTAAAAATGGCAGATTTACAATCGAGAAAAACAATACTCGAATACGATCTCAAACCAATAGCAATATCTCGCAAGTAGGTCGGGCTAACAGGCTAGCTTATACCGAATTACTATAATAAAGTCTGAAAAAATATCGCTGGACGTAATGTAGTGTTACGTCTATCGCACGTGCTACCGCGCGCTTCCTACACAGTGAAGGACCACTAATAAATGTTCATAACATGAACTCTCAAGCGTAGTGATACGACATAAACCAGTTTGGACGCCCGAATAGCTTGTGAGGTATTACTATAGTAAATCTGCCCTTTTTTAATTGTAATATTTTTTAATTTAATAAATTGACTCTACTATCGAGAAAGTATAATTTGGCTGCGGGACAACAACCACTAAAATTTCAGCATGTATATACGAATTGATCAAGCTTAGAAATCAGTTTATCCCCGAAACTCTTCACCGCTGCATTGGAAGACGTTTTCAAGCTACTGGACTGGAAAGGATGCGGTATTAACATCAATAGCGAATACATAACTCACCTTCGATTTGCCAACGATATAGTCCTTATGGCAGAATCGCTGGAGGATTTAAGCACTATGCTCTATGACCTCAATAGTGTCTCCTAACGGATAGGTCTTAAGATGAACATGGACAAAACAAAAGTCATGTATAACGTCCATGTCGCACCTACGCCGCTACTTGTTGGGAGCACTAAGCTCGAAGTTGTTGACGAGTATGTTTACCTGGGACAAATAGTCCGACTAGGTAAGTCCAACTTCGACCGAGAGGTCAATCGACGGACTGGGCAGCGTTCGGGAAACTACGACACATCTTCTCGTTAGACACACCTCAAAACCTGAACATGAAATTGTACAACATGTGCGTGTTGCCAGTGATGACTTACGGATCTGAGACGTGGTCCTTCACTGCTGGCCGTATGAGGAAGCTCAAGGTTGCTCAGCGAGCTATGGAGAGGGCTATGCTCGGGGTTTCTCTGCGTGATAAACTTAGAAATGAGGATATTCGCAGTAGAACCAGAGTAACCGACATAGCCCAACGGATTAGTAAGCTGAAGTGGCAGTGGGCCGGCCATATAGCTCGAAGAACCGACAACCGATGCGGAAGAAAGGTTCTCAAGTGGCAGCCTCGTACCGGTAGGCGAAGTGTAGGGCAACCCCTCACTTGGTGGAGTGACGATCTGGTAAGACCTGCAGGAAGTCGATGGATGCAGGTGGCTCAGGACCGTGCTTTGTGGCATTCCTTGGGGGAGGCCTATGTTCAGCAGTGGACTTATGAAAGGCTGTAATAATGGTGATGATGATGATGAATATTTTGTAATCCGACTCACGCTTGACCGATTCGGCTAATCGGCTGCCTAGCACTGCGGCTTGAAGTTCTCGACGGGGAATCGATATTGGTTTCAACGGAGCTGCTTTGGCCTTACGCGCTATCAGTCGCGACGTTTTGGTACCTTCCGTTTTTGTACTTACGAAATATACTGCGGTGGAATACACTTTTTCACTTACGTCACAGAAAATGTGCAACTCGCCTTCATCAGAGGGCGTGGCAGGTACGTACCTATCTATTTTTAACTTCTTTTAAATTGTTGTTGCAGCCTATTTTAGGCCCTCTCTCATTTTTGAGAGGGTTTTTTAGGGTAAGGGAATGTCCGCCGCGCTGCCCCAATGCGTGTTGGCGAACTACACGTCTTCGAAATATTTTTTCTTATTTCTCATCAATTGCAGGTTTCCTCACGATGTTTTCCTTCACCGCCGAGCACGTGGTAAATCAGCACTTAAATTGCAATTAACAATTTCATTGGTGGCAGCGGGAATCGAACCCGAGTTGCTCGAGTACTGTGAAGATTACAGCGAGCGCTAACCATCTGAGCTACCACGGCTAACTTTTTTAACAGCGGTAAGTTATTTATAAATGATAACTATGTCATGTGATGCTCGGTTTTGATGAGGGTCGTCCCAATCTATCCCGCTACGCCATATTTCTCGTATGAGACGTTTGCCTATCATCGTTATAGGTGAAACTAAACCTGGCGGATCAAATACCGACATGAAGGCGCTGGTTGCCTGTCTCTTGGTAGGCAGCGTTTCACCTCGAATGACGCTCGCGGCTGAACTTCAGAGATTGACGTTGAAACCTAACGTATCACGTGCGTGGTTTCATATGCGGCATAATGTTCACTCTGTGTTTTTTACCTAGAGTGGGCGTATCGCTACTGAGTGTATCAGTGACGTCACTTATCACTTCGGGCACGTTCGACGCCCTTCCGCGTAACTCAACTTATGACTGACTAACAACGACTATAAATACTTTAATTTAAAATCTCATATGTAAATCTCACCGTGCGAAGCCGGGAAAGTCGGTAGTATTAATAATATTATCAATTCTACAGGTGCTTCTGCTAGAAGCCGGGCCAGAACAACCTGACGTAACACTGGTGCCAGGTCTGTCGACTGCTCTTCTTGGGTCGAACATAGACTGGGCATATTCGACAGAACCGGATGGCAGGAGTTGTTTGGCCGCACGAGGAGGACGATGCTCTTGGCCAAGGTAACTAGCACACTTTTTTTTGGGGAGAGAAATAAATAAAAATAAAAGATTAACTTTATATATATAAAAAACAAAAGAATTATATATATATATATATATATATATATATATATATATATATATATATATATATATATATATATATATATATATAATTCTTTTGTCCGTGTCTATGAGATGGAATTCCTCCTAAACGGCTGGACTAATTTTGAGGTATAGGATAAATAACCCGTGAGAAGACGGGGAGAAACGCTAGTAATATATTATATAATTTATAGTTGCGATTCGAGAAGTTGGCAGTGTTTTACCCCTGTGCCTACCACCGTAAAATAGCGGCTTAGCGCTGCTATATTTTATATATTTTTTACTGGTAAGGTAAGGAGGAATTCTTTCTTATACCTCTCAGGATTGTCTATACGTCTCGCACCATTGACGCTGCTTTCATCACCAATCTGAATAAATTACATCTGACGTAAAGGAAATGGTTATCCTTTAATGAAAGACCACATAATCGTTCCGATACTTTTATAGAATATGTCAAAAATTATTCTAAAATGTTTGAAAGAGTGTGGCTCCAGAGCCAAATTTTTAAATATTAGCAACAAAATTAATTTTAACAAAACAAAGTTAAGTAATTTAATTAAATAATTAAAAATAAAATTAAAATGACGTAGAGTAAAAATAGTAGTAAATAATAGTAGTGTATAATTAATAGCGAAACCGGTAAGGACAAACCTCGTAACACAAACTATCAATTGAAAATTAATAATGAATTGACTAGATCAAATCAAGAAGTTGCATTCATATTTTGACAACGTAGTCATTGAATACTTTTTTTTCCAACTGTCGCCGAGACATTACTCAAACAGAAGGTTAATACCTTTTTAAAAGAATTTAGATATGAAAAAGTATACCATATATAATATAGTAATTACCACAAGATATTGTAAAATATTTCAAAACCCTTGATGTAAAGAAAACCGCAGATTAATGGGGGATTTCCGTTACAGTTATTGCGTCCATAATAGATTTAATTGCATTTATCTTGCTATTATTTTTAATTCTAGTATCGAATCTGGTGTGTTTTCTGATTTAACGAAACATAATAAATACCTTTATTTAAATCTGGTTGTACATTAGACTCCGCTAATTTTACACCTATTTCTGTACTATCTCAGTAAAATTTTTGATGAGATAATTTTAGAACAATTGTTAATTTTTTTTAATAAAAATAAATTACTTCATACATTTTGTTTTACAAGGGGTTGCTCGACGACTGACGCAGGTGTTGAGCTTATGAAATATATTTTTAATGCCTGGGAGAGTTCACAAAATGCCTTATTCAAATCAAATCAAATCACATGCAATCCAAGTGTACATAATTGGTCTTAAATTAAAAATAGGTTTACAACTTAGACGCCCTTTTCAGGCACTGCAAATTTGACGAGGACACTGCTTATATATTATTAACATACATAAAATATAATTAAAAGCTAGAATAAAATATAAAAATACATAATAGTGTTATTTTTTATCTAAATACTCCTCCACAGAGTAGAAGGGGTTTTGTTTTAAATATTTACTGAGTCTTGATTGATATTTGGTTAATTCTGATATATTTTTTATTTCCTGTGGTAATTTATTATATACTTTAATTTCCATATAGTAGGGGTTTGTATTTAACATTTTTGTTCGCGAGTGTGGTAGGTATAATTTATTTTTTAAAGTATTTACGTTATGTGTATCTTTAATCTTTTTAAAAATATTAATATTTTTGTAAACAGACAGGCATAGATCATAAATGTACATACAGGGTAAGGTAAGAATATTTAGTTGTTTGAAATACGGTCTACAGCTAGTAGTGGTATCTATCTGGACTAGTATTCTAACGCACTTCTTCTGGGTAGTAAAAAGTTAGGTATTTTTTGTGATATTTCCAAGGCTTTCGATTGTGTTCATCATGAGATATGAATCAGGAAACTACAACATTACGGTGTCAAAAATATTGCGCTTGAACTTATTATTTCATATATAAATAACAGAACTCAAAAGGTCCTGATCAATGGTAAAAGTTCCTCCGGATCAGTAGTATCATTGGGCGTACCTCAGGGCTTGATTCTTGGCCCATTCATGTTCTTAGCCTATATTAATTACTTATCTTATCTTGTACGGGACAATCACTATATAGTATTATTTGCTGATGATACCTCTTTAATTTTTAAACTCAAACAACAGTCAATTAATTTTGACAATGTAAACAATGCTCTACGGAAAATATAACATTGTTTTAACTCCAATAGTTTGCTCTTAAACGGCAATAAGACAAAACATATTAAATTTATAATACCAAAATTAAATGCTAAACATTAAAATACCAATGTGATCTTAAATAGTGATATTATGATGGGAATACTAATAATAAACAAAATTTGACATCCTCAAAGTTCTAACACTTTATTAAACAAAGTTTGTATAAAAAGGGAAACGTTTGTATAATATTAAGGAATTTAGGAATGATGATAACGACTAGGAATGAGGTGATCGCTACCAAGCTATTTCTAATTTGGTTTGTGTTGTTAATTGTGTAACATATATTATAGTTCCTCAGGGTTTCTTGTTGGTTCTTCCAAGGACAGAGGTACTTGCCAAACCATTGGTAAATCAAACATAAGAGTGACTTTCAATAAGTATTATTTATAATCTACAAGTATATGGAATAAAACGTTTTTGTTTCTGTTTCTGTAAAACGGACCATTATTAGAGTAGTACAAGTATTTATTCAAATCACAAAAATAATTTGGAAAATCCAAAAGTGCACACCTCGATGCAACATTTGATTCTTAGTTGAGGATCAATGTCTTAGGGTCTTATTCTATATAAAAACTAACTAAATTGCAATTGAAAGTAAAAAAAGAAAGAATCAAAACTAATAAAGAACTAAATAGATCAGAGAAGTGACTATCGAAAGGAACCAGATCTACATGATTCTGAAGATAGAAAAAAAATTAGGTCGTTTTGTTATGTAGTTTTCGAGATATCCTGTATACAGATAATTTATGAACAACAGACTAAAGGACATCCACAATATATTTTTTTTTATTCGGACAATTTATTATAATAACGTTGTTTGTTTGTAAGTTTTATTTATTTATTATACATCCACTCATTACTATCATTACATGATTGCCCTAATACGATAGATAAGTCATACTTTTGTTATGTTAGACATAATAAGTATATATATATATATATATATATATATATATATAAAAATATATATATATATATATATATATATATATATAACAAGGTAGCCTTTGTGAACTCGTTCAGAGAACATCCGAATAAATCAATTCGCTTAGCCACCGCATTGAGTGTACGTAATGCGCGGGTGATTGGCTCCTCACGCAATAGGCTGGTTCTCGCGCACGGTAGTTCCAGCGGTCGCACTCGTTGCCGCCGTTCGGCACTTCGATCTGGCACGCATAACTTCATCTCCTGCAGGATAGCTGGGTTGTTAACTACACCCCGTAACAGCTTAAACAAGTATGTGGCCAGCGATACTTCCCTTCTTACTTCTAGTTTACTGTATCCTACCATACCGAGAACAAAAAGAGTAGGATAGAGTAACGGACAACCCGGATACACTCCATATAATTTGAGATATAAAAATGTAGCAAACTTGTTTTGAACATTTTCCAACATTGACTTATACTTGTGTTCATTTGGAGCCCAAATCACAGAGTTGCACTCAAAATGACTTTTTACCATCGCTTCATACAAGGCCCTTATTGCGTTAATATTAGTGAACTCGTTTGCTTGTCTCAAGACAAAACCAAGATTGCGGTATGCTGTCTTGCAGACTTCAGTAATGTGTTCTCGAAACTTTAAATCACTTGTGAAATAAACACCCAGATCTTTCACTTTCATGACACGCTGCAGCTGCTTTCGCTCCATATGGTACACGTGACGGCGTGGAACACGTGCTCGGCTAAATGACAACGTAGAGCATTAGTTCAAGTTAAAATAAAGTTTATTGTCCCGGCTCCACTTCATGACCTCATTTATATCCCGCTGCAGTCTAGCATGGTCTAAGGTATCTCTTATTTCGATAACTAATTTTAGGTCATCGGCAAATAAAAGGCACGTCAATTCCTTGATCACCTCCGGTAAGTCGTTTATCATAATTATAAAATGGAGAGGACCCAAATTACTTCCTTGACTGACTCCTGACCTTGTAAAGTACTGCTCAGAGTAGCACCCACCATAGTCAACGTACTGACGTCTGTCTCGCAAGTAGCTTGCGAAGAACTTCAACGTATGTGGTGTGCAGCCTATTCCGGCCAACTTCGCCATCAAGATATCATTATCGACCGTATCAAATGCCTTACAAAATTCAAAATAGGCCACATCAATCTGTATCCCTGCATGAACTGCTGGGACTACTTGTGACATTAAATGCAGCAAGTTCCCGGTTGTACTCCGACCAGGGAGGAAACCATGTTGCGAGTCAGACAACAGAGTTTTTACCTGCATATACAAGCAGTGCTGAATGGCCGATTCGAATACCTTGGCTGGTGTACATAATATCGCTACAGATCTGTAGTCATTAGGTTCCGGACATCCACGACCTTTCGGCATTGGAGCAACTCGAGTAAGCTTCCACATATCAGGAGAGCTTGCGGTCACGATGCAGTTATTAAATAAATGTAGAAACGGTTCCACCAGAGCAAAGCGACAATCTCTAAAAATGAACGGTGGTATACCGTCCGGTCCTACCGAGCGCTTCGGCATTAGTCGGGAGAGCGCGCGGCGCACCTCCGCCGGCTGTAGGGCCGTGAGATGCACCCATGCACTCCCTGTTGAAGCCGCGCTAACACGTCCAGTACAGACGGTTTTTGGTTGTACACGGAATGAAAAAATTGTGCAAATTCGTCAGCGCATTCCTGATTCGATAGGACTCGTCCATTTTTTAATTAAATGGTGCTGGAAAGAGTTAC